ATGTTTATACATTTTTTTCGAATATTAATTCATTAATTACTGGTAAATTAGTTAAATTAAATTAATTACCGGTTTTTGATGCCAACTTAGATTTGTCCCCATTGTTGTAACAATATAACTTTTAAAACAATGACAAAAGTTAGCGTAGAAAATCAGTTTTTCAGCCAGACTAGCCAAACCGGGTATGCATTGTTACAACAATGCAGACAAATAATGCTCTTTTTTCAATTCTTACTATTAGTTAACTGTCTCTCGATGTATATATATATATCCCGTTCAAATTTGCAATCGTTAATAAAATACTTTCTATTCATCCGTTCAAAGTAGGAATTGACTTAAAATTTTTTTTATATTACTTGTAATTAAGAAACGTCTCTAATACTCGATTTTAATTGCTTACTATATGCTTCTAGAAATAATTTAATAATTAATGTTTAAAACAAGAAATTAACTTTAAGAATATGAATTATGGATGCAAAACTGCAAAAGTTTCCTCAAAAACTAAAATTTCTACGAAAATTTCCGTTTTTAAAGAAATATCTACCCGGGGAAAAAAGCACTTTAAAATACTACAGGTTATACAGTAAAGATTAATTATTTCCCTTTTGTTTATGTAGTACCAGTTCACTGAGGCGAATACGGAATGTTCAAAATGGGGAAAGTAAAGTAAAAAAACTTTCAAGATCCAACAAAACCACCTAAGTTCTGCAAGCTACTCACTTAGTCAGCGGTTATTGCTAATTAGAAAAGTTCCCTTAAATGTGATTTTTGCTGACGATGTTTCACCTAAAATCACTTTTAATGAGCTCAGTGGGCCTTAATCACCTGTCAAAAAGAGTCGAAGTGAGAAAAAAGCGGAGAAGTTTTTGAGCCAAGTGATCGCTTGGCTGACCGCAGAAAGCTAGACATTTCTTATTTTTAGAGGTGATTTTTGAATTTACCTCGATTTTTATCAAGGATGACGAGGTCTAAACAGCATCGTTTACTCAGTTACACAGATTAACTTTGTCAGATGCTAGAAAAATTTTCGAACTCAAAAGTTATTTTTCTTTTTAATCGCTCAGGCTTAATAAAGTTCGCTGAAGTCTTGACGTATTCTGGTTTTTCTTTCGTTCGTGATCGTTTCACGATTACAAATAAGTAATAAGTACATGTAAACTTATTTATAAATATGTAAAGACTTACTTCTGTTTATAGTTATTTCCTCTCTTTGTAGAATCGCATGTATTAAAACATTCTGAAATTTATTTGGTGATAATATAATACTGTACGAATTGTGTAAACATATGCACAATCGTGTGTATATATAAACTATCGAACGATTGCTTTCCCCCAATCATAGTCGTCTCCACGGAAATCACGAGGATTACAACACTTCCCGTTGCCGCTTCATATAAATAGCCAGAACTCCGAAAACTCTTTCTCTTTGTCCTTTTGTCTTTGTCTTCAATATGTAAAACTTCACTGCTGCTTACTATAACTGCTGTGTGTGTTTATTGTTAATCCTTTTTATGTCTTTCTTGGAAAATAATTTGGAATTAGAAATTATGCCACCTTCTATTCAACAACTTGAAATAGATCACTACCTCTGTAATGGGGGACAATTCCTACTTTCCTCTAATCCCCCTGTCTACTCTTGAACCCGGCTAGAAGTGTGGGAGCAACTAATTGATCCGTCGACATGATTCACTAAAATCGTTTATTTGTCACAATAATCAACACAGACACAATAATAATCCAATTAAGATAGTTTTGATCAATATTTAGAGCGCGAAGGTGAGACCAGTTAGCATGGGGATCATGTTTACAAACATTCAACTAATTTCTACTATAACTTATCCTAGCTCTTTTCTAATTCGGACGAGCTCTAACAATTCACTCTCCAACTTCACTAAAATCGTTTTTCAATCAACAATTTAAAATCAACAATTTACTCTCCAACTTCACTAAAATCATTTATTTGTCACAATAATCAAAACAGACACAATAGTTATCCAATTGCGATCGTTTTGATCAATATTTAGAGCACGAAGGTTACTAATTCGGACGCGCTCTAATAATTTACTCTCCAACTTCACTAAAATCGTTTTTCAATAAACATTTTAAAATCAACAATTTACTCTCCAAGTTCACTAAAATCATTTTTTTTGTCACAATAATCAACACAGACACGATAATAATCCAATTAAGATAGTTTTGATCAATATTTAGAGCGCGAAGGTGAAACCAGTTAGCATGGGGATAATGTTTACAAACATTCAACTAATTTCTACGATAACTTACCCTAGCTCTTTTCTAATTCTCTCTAATTTCTAACAATTTACTCTCCAACTTCTATTCAAATAAGAAGCACCGTACCTGAACTCTTGTACTTCCAAAAACCTATAGCTGAGGCCCTGTACACTAACGGTCGACTTGATCACGACGCATAGGAGAGATCCTCACTTTGGTAATCTTCAATTCTCAATTTAACAATCTTAGATTTTCACTTCATGAATTCCACTTCACTAACTCTCAAAACTCGCGAATACAGAATTTATATAATAAACTTAATTTGCATAATCACGTTTTCTTACCTTCGGTGAAAGTTGGTTGAATTAATTATTTCCCCTAAAGAATCCCCAAGAGGTTAGTAGAGCCGTCTAACCTCCCCATTCGTCATGTGTGGTTCTCTCTCATTCTACATATATAGAAGAGAAAAGTGACTCACCCTGACCTATTTACTCATTACGCGATCTCAATTCCTGCCACAGGTTTGAAATTTGGCAAGAATGTTTCTTTCATTGAGTAGAGATCCACAAAAATGGAGTTTGTGCTAATATACTAAGAAGGAGGGTTATGGGGACATAAAAATAATCTATATATTTACTAGAAAAGCAACTCACTCACTCAGCTTGAGAGCTCCAAAAATATCAGATGCACAGACTTTAAATCTGGCAGTAGATTATAAATCTTTTCTAGATCTTTAAATTCTGGAGACTTTAAATTTTTAGTTTAGAAGAGATCCGCTGAGAGCTCATTCTGCTGAAACTGACTCTTATAGCGTCGTAAAAGATAATATTTATATGTTTGACTTAGCTGATATTCATATACTGGCTGATAGATGAAATAGGAAATACCGAGTAGTTCAGATTTATTTATCTATTTGACTTAGATTTTTTATTTGCTAGATCGTTCTTTTCTGTTAGTCTGTGATTTGTAACTTACTTAAAATCATTCGAAATATTAATTAAGATTTGACCTATTGAATTTCGATTTTTGTATTTTTTTCAATTCCTATTATTAGCTCATACTATAGGATGCATTTATGTAAATATATACTATTTATGTAAATATATACTATTTATGTAAATATATACTATTTATGTAAATATATACTATTTATGTAAATATATACTATTTATGTAAATATATACTATTTATGTAAATATATACTATTTATGTAAATATATATATATTTATCTTGTTCAAATTTTTAATCGTTAATAAAATTCATCCCATTCATCCAATCAAGTTCAAATAAATTTTTTAAAAATTTTAATGGATAACACTTGATATTAATATAGTTTTTTTTCAAATTTTAATATATTAATTACCGGTTGTGTGTGATTAGTTAAATTAAATTAAACACCAGTTTTTGACGCCAACTTAGATTTATCTCCATTGTTGTAACAATGTAACTGTTAAAACAATGACAAAAATTGGCTACGAAAACCGGTTTTTCAGCCAAATTAGCCAAACCGGATGTGCATTGTTACAACAATACAGACAAATCACTCTCTTTTTTCAATTCTTAGTACACTCCCTGCCTATGTATATATATGACTTGTTTTTCGAGTGATCATCCAGACATTTTAATTCAACCGTCTTTATTCCATGAGATCATTTTGTAATCTGCTTGTCAGAGAGAGAGAGAAAGAAAGACGAACACGTGTTAAAAATAGATTCCGCGGCCCCTTCAGAAGCCATATGCTTTTCAAGTACGCTTCTGATTGAAGAGATATACGTGAGAATTTAAGTGTGACATATTAGGTAATAAAAATTAATGGTCGGAGCCAGCAAACTTCTTTTAAAGCCATGTGTTTTTCATTCCCGAACTGGATAATAAATTTAATACTTGAAGATGTAACGGGAAAATAAAATTTAGAGGTGGTGGTCTAGGGTTTAATTTTAGATCTAATTTAATTATCTTACACATATATATATATGTATATATATATGTATATATATATAATATATATATATATATATATATATATATATATATTATATATATATATATATATGCAATATATTTGCAGTAGGAAAATTTACATTTTAATTAGAGGTGATGAAGTGGTCGTGGCCGAAAAATTAAAAGAGGCTTGTTCGTGATCACATCGTTTATTTGAGTATGCTTCTCATACTCAGCCAAAAATACAAGAGAGGGATTATTCAATTAGCAAGTATTTATATATAGGGAAGAACCGGGAAAAACACATTGTAAAAAATACAGTCACGGGTCTAGGTGAAGGGAATAACTAGATATTTATAGAAATGACATCATTGTTTAGGGAATATTAATCCCTATTACTAAAAGCACATGAAAACCATTAAGGATCCTATATTTCTTGGAATCGCCGATAAATCTATCAAATTTCAAGGTCTAAAGAATCAGTAATAAACCAACATGTTTTAATGTTTGAGAAAGAGATGCGTTTCCAGATAGAGTATTAGGATTTATGAATTAGATGTTATGAATAAAGGATATTAAAATTATGAGTTGATATTAAAATTTAAGTTATTACATATATATATATATATATATATATTACTTTCTATTCATGCAAAGTAGGAAGTGATTATAATTTTTTTTTATATTGCTTGTTAAATTCAACCATGCGAAAAAGATTCTAAACTTAATTATTTCCATAAAAAATTCATTTTATTCCACGAATTAAGAAATTCTTTTTTTTAATTCGAAATCTTTGTAAACTTTCAATTTTATTGCTGGCGGAGGT